GTAAGTACTTCGTAGGAGCGCACATGTTTCAACAACTTCTACGTCCGTACTTCTTGTAGGATTTGCATTTCAGGTTAAAGTGATCATAGGTAATGTACCTAGGTAAAATCAGTACTCGCTTCCTGCATTAATAAGGAGACGGGGGCAATTGTCGGTGTCTACCTCGTACGTACGGATCCGTAGTGTACACACTTAACTACATAGTGTAATAGGAAGAGAAGTGGTGTGTTGCCTCGTGGCACAATTTGAGTAGTAGGGTAGGTACTAGTACTTTGTATATACGGATCCGTACCTCATGTACGAAGTACCTTAGGTACCTACGTATAACACCTGGACACCGTTGCGAAGTACCTAAGGTATCTCTGAAGTACCTCCGTATAGTAGGTAGTGTTAGGTAGCGTACGTAGTGTAATGTACGGAGTGCATTCGTGCCTTTCTCGTTCGGATTACGGATCCTGTACCCGGATAACCCAGGATTGGTCATAAATTCGAAGCATCGCAACAGAGTCACGTGCCCCTGCAGTGCAGCTCCGGCGTCCAATTTCCCCACTAAACCCCCAAGATCCCCAACCTCAAGCCATCACTTTTATGTCGCCAACCTACGGACGTACTTACAGTAATAGGTAGTTATCTACCTAGTTAGTTCGATTTTCTTATTACAACAGTCGCCCAATAATCAAGGACTCCAGCCAGACTCTTGAATTGGAGGTCAATGTAGTATTATTGCCCAACCTCATAGGTAGTGATTTCAGCGCCGCCTACCGATCCGTATACCTAGGTAGTATCCACAATGGTTGTCCGAACACCGACTCTCGGCTCCTTGAGAAAAGGGTTCCTATCACAGATACATCGGCCGCTGCCACTTAATCAGCGCGATCTACAGCAACTTCAAGATTTGATCACAACCTCCTTTCGCAAGAATCTCGACCGAGAACATCCGTGGGAAACGGACGGGACATCTACGGATACGTCGGTGAACCCCTCAACATCAGCTTTAGCTGAGAACCACCGTCCGACCGATCGACATCTGAGCACAATACTGTCCAACCCTCTCTTTGCCCATTCGCGCAATGCCAAAAATCCCACAGTCTCAGCCCCCACGAGTCACAAGAACCCTTTTGACGTCTTTGATTCCGCTGTGTCGAAAGGTCTCATGACTCCACGCCGCGCCGCTGGATTCTTGGCCACAATTCGATCTCAACAGTCAGCCCAATCTTCTGATGGAATCCACCAACCAATTGGCACGTCAGGTCCAGGGCTACGTGTTCTACAATGGCTGCGCGCATCCGGTCATGAAAATAGTCTTGATTTCCTGAGCGACGCTGCACTAGTCAAGCTTTTAATACCGGTTTTATATGCCGAGGGCTTGCAACAGATCGCATGGAATTGGTTGTCACTGCTAGCGTCCCGGGTTCCTTTCCTGGAGTTTGAAAAGATCACAGGCGAACCTGTTGTTCAGACATTGTCCAGACTAATGACCGCCATCATCAGGAGTAGCCAACCGATTTCGCAGCACCCAGTTAGTTTAGACGAGTCTTTCGCGGCCCTGGCAAAGGTGAACGATATGCTCCCTCGCGAAAGTTCTATCGCTACCGCTGCCGTTAAAGATGTATGGGCCAAGCTCTCATGGGCGTCGACCGTAAACGCATCCCAACGCCCCAAGCCATCGGCCAAGCTCTTTGAGGAGTTTGTCGAGATCGGACGACCCTTAAATCTTCCCCTCGATCTAGCACATCTCGATCTCCATCATCCTACTGTTCCAACTCATTCGGCTGCCATTGAATATTTACGTCCCAGGCAGAAAATTATAGAAAATGTGACTAATATGAAGCCAAAGGCACAACAACGGGTTCTTGTAAGCAATTCGTACTTCAACCTTGTGTTTTTGTATCAGCCATGTCTTAGAAAATTATTGCCCACTCGAAACACTTACAGACCACGCTGAACATCATTTTCGCTGACCTGAGATATAACAGTGCTTAGTATGGGATGCTGCTGAAAGACTGGAACAGACCGGCCAGTTCTCCGAAGCGCCTTGGATCGAGCGTCTCAAGGTCACTATCCACGAAAAACTTGGTCTTGGGGCCTTGAACATATCTGCATTCAACTCAAAGTGGGCGCTGAACGAACGCATCAAGATGGCAATCTGATTTCTCTCTGATTCTGATAAAAGTAGCATGATTTCTGAGATATCCGGCATTGGGCTGGCGTTGGGGTTTATTTGGGCTAATCATTGAGTCTGCATATCCGGCATCTAACAGATTGAGCGGGTTTATATTGAAATGTGTCCAGCATATTGTTTATATTGCGTTGTTGCAGTCTGTTTATATCAAATGATTTGAAGATCTCCTGGGTCAGGCAAGGAGGTCTTCGTGACACATATAGTGTATATCATAAGTCTCACAGACGGCCTTACATTTATTACCCCATTGATGTCCAGGGAACCTAAACCAAACATACTTTTTCCTAGACTCAACCTGACCGGACCATCCAACACTGAGTATATACTTTTCTTTATCAATTTTCTAGGCCGATCTATGGGCCTCCTGCTTCAAACCGGCCAAGGTCTGTGAAAACGGAGAAGAATTGGGGAATGCCGATCCCGGGCGCTTCAGAGAACGTTATTTTCTTCCATACACACGTACATATTTAGGTCAGTAAATGTAAATGCCAACTCCAATCCCTGAATATCTAGATAATTATTCCTATCCCAGATCGTCGCGAGCTAGTTGCCTGGTTCTCTTTGTTATACTTTACTTACCTTGGGTAGCTAGGTTGACCTGCTCCGTGGTCCGTTGTCCGCGATCCGTACAGATGTCGCCGATTGAGGACCACCATTCTTCAATCACAGAGTCTGATTGGTTAGAATCTGCTTCTTGGTGAGTGGTAATACTGGTCTTTGCCTATACCGGGGACCTGAGAAATACCTGATAGTGTTAGTAACGACGAGGCTGGGTCACGCGGTTTACAATTCCGTAATCCGTACGGGATCCGTAGTCCTGAGGCAGGTTGTATTCCGTACTTGTACTTCGTAGATTGGCAGCCAACTGGCGGTATTATCTACACTACCGGTACGTCCGTATCTAAGGTAGATATTACTATTTACATCGTAGACCGGGCAGGTAGTGTTTGAAGTAGGCCAGGCAAGACTCTGTAGGTAGGTAATTATTGAAATTGTAATCATAAGGAGTAAGTTGTGACTGTACGTAGAGGTCTGCCGTATCCGCCGCGAGCAAAACGCTATTCCCTAGTTCCGCTGGCTCTTGGAAAATAGACCTCTGTACCTGCGCCGGCTATCTTGCTGTCTCTCGGCACGGACACCAGCGCGGTTTAGTTCACGATTCCGTCCCAGGACACGTTGGTCAGTACGGTGTATTACTTCATTTCGTTAAACTCTGCCGTGGAAATGAGATTGATTGTCTCCGGTGAGGCTGACCATCAGGACCGAGCACTCCCGGATTACCGTCTCGAACGGAAACCACGGCCTAGCCGTGGCGACGGCGCGTCTTTGCGCCCGGCAAGCATGCTCTTCATTTCCAGGGCTCTGGCCGTCGACTCGAATGCATTCCCGATTGCCTCATATCCAATGATGGCCATTAGCTCCTCCTAACATGTTCTTGGCGGCTTGTCATCAGGTCTGTTCATAGTGCTCAAGTGAGTTCTCTTGGCAGGCCAGTCGCCGGTACACGTGATTGTATGTATGCGTCAATAGCAAAGAGCTAAGAGTTGCGAAGTAGAGCGCAAGCGCGTACTCTGCGACTGCCGTCACGTTGCAGTGCGGTCCAGTGTGTTTGCGACTGAGCCATTTTATGTCCTGCTGATTGATTGCGAGGCTTCCAACTCAGGATTCAAAATACTTGGTGTTTGGGCCCCTGAAAATTCGACGAGCCTCAGTGAGATATGATGCTGACAATGGCTACATAGCGAACGATGACTCACGCCTTCTCTTCGGTCATTTCAACAAAATGAATATCTCGTATTTCTCTACCTTCTAACCATCCCGGCTTTGCCTGATACTTCATAAAGAAAGCAGGATCCACGCCGACTTACATTCGCCCTCTTCCGCCTTTTCAAAACTGGCTCAGAGATGTTTTGATAGGTACCCTGTATTATGAGTCTCAGTAAAGGGCCACCTAAGCATCCGGCTCATAGTAGTAGGTATGATCTGGCCAATGCCAGTAACTATACGGATGTCCTTGCAGACTCCAACCTCCACCCTACATGACAGATAGTCTCCGAGTCAATCGGATGTCGAAAGATGAAATAAATGTGGCTCCCGGTGCTCATTGGCACGGTCCAACCTCGCCTCGTCAATGCAGCATTGTAACGTGGCTAGCCGTTCTGTTGACCTGTTTTGGGCACAAGATCTACACAACATGCGCGCGGTGCCTGAATTGAGAAGGCAAGGACACGCATCAGCATCCCAGGGGACTCCTGTCGATCAACCTGTCCAGGAAATGACTAACACCCAAAGGTAAGCAATAATAAGTAGGTATACGAAGTACAACCAGTTCCTACTTTAGACAAATACCTACCTACCTCATATCATACTTATCTTAAGAAGCCCCAGAACTATTGAACTGCCTTTATTCCGCTGCAGAGTTTCTTGCGATCTATCGTCTTGGAATATATTCGTCATCCGATTCCCCGATCCAGACATTACGCCCAATTCGGCATGGTCAAGCCATCCCACAGGTGTCGACAACGATACCCCTTCTTACCTTGGTACCTAGCCACATTCAATTGAGGTCCTATATAGGTATCTGATGCCAAAGGAATAGGTACCTTTCCAACCGATTCTCAAGCACTGCCGAAGGTGAGAGGACAGGGGAGTCATGTACAGATCTACAAGGCCAATCTTAGGTACTATCGGGTGGGTTTTTAGATCGCCGGGAATCCTTTTCCTCTGGGGAAAATACCTAGTGTACCTACCTAGGTACCTACAACGGATCCGTACCCTATAGAGAAGCAAACAAAACCCGATCAGACCAACAACTAGCGCCCGGTTAGCTCAATCGGTAGAGCGTGAGACTCTTAATCTCAAGGTTGCGGGTAAGTTCATGTTCAGGACTCTGTCGAGGCTCGTTCAATTTGCTAACGTTGAGATTCCAGGTTCGACCCCCGCATCGGGCTCAATTCCTGATGCCGCCCCGGATAACTGGGAGTAGCAACCAAATTTTTTCTCTTTTTTTCCTCTTGTTTTTCTTATTTTTTTTTTCTCTTTCTTTTTGCGCTTTATAGTCGTGAGAAGGTGAAGATGATCAGGGAAACGAGATCAGTCATGGCCCCGGATCTCATACGTACACAACACAACACACATAGCAGAAATACTACAGCGTACCTAGGTAGGTATTATTTGCTTAATACAGAATCCTGTCTATTGAAAAGATTTCTTTTCGATTTTCTCGTTGCTTTCTTGTTGAAGCCGATGTCTGAGCCAGTGAAGTGGACTTGATACTGCACGTGTAAGTAGTAATACCTAGGTATATAAGCTGTCCCTCCCATCCTATATATATATCACTTTTAGTCCGTACACGGCCTCGTGAAAGTTTCTGCACATGTGCGCGGGAAAAAAATAATAATAATTACCTACCTGGTTACCAGGTAGTATCAGCGCTACCTAATCACCTACACTACATCGTAGCTTCGGCAATTTTCTACCTAGTCGGGAATTCCACGGCACGCACTACCGGTAGGTAAATCTAGCCAAGCCAAGGGAAAACCGGTTAGCCCGAACGAGCGAACCTAGAATTCGACTGGCGCAATCCGAGCCCCATCGGGTAAATCTTAGTGTCCGTTACGCTAGCATCCTTCCAACAATCCAGTAAGGACATGGCAACGTGGCTGAGTGGTTAAAGCGTATGACTAGAAATCATATCCCTTCGGGGTCACAGGTTCGAGTCCTGTCGTTGTCGGGCGATTCGCTTCGGGCTCAGTCCCGCTAGTGAATTCTTGTCGTTTCTCTCATGGTCTGGTGGTCTAGCGGTATGATTCTCGCTTAGGGTTCACCCTACAGCAATGTTTGCGAGAGGTCCCGGGTTCAATCCCCGGCCAGACCCGAACTTTTTCTACTTTTCGTCCTTCTTTTTTCTTTTCTTTCACTGCTTTTTCTGTTTCTTCTTCTCCTTCTTCCTCGCGTTGATGTTATTTTTTTTTTCTTTTTTTCTTTTTGCTGTCGCATGGGCCCTCAATGATCCCCAGAGTATTCCTATGGACGGACGTTTTGCCAACGTCGTTCTCGGGACCCTTTACTTCTTTGCAGCTGCTCGGATTGATCCACCAAGCTTTACATCGCGTGCGGCAGCGTTCTCACGTTCAAAAGCTTCAATTGACAGCATAATTACGAAAATACATTAACCACGGGATGCCCTCTTTATGAGCTAGCACGTCCGTATCACGGGTTAACAATGCAGTGTAAGTACTTAGGTTAGAACCGCGATCCGTTTGCGTCAAGCGATATCATATTAGAGAGTATCTATATCTCAGAACTAGTTATGCTCTGCCCTTACCAGACTCTTTTACTTTCCAAAGTCGAGTAAGCCACGCATCTTCTAGGTAGATGAGAGAAATGCAACGACGAGTTTGACCTAGCTTGCAAGGCCGTCCTGGGTATCATTCTTGCAGATAGGGCTCAAATTGAAGACTGAATGCTTTAGCTTCACAAAAGCTGCATAATGGAGCGCCACATGCAAACTAGCCCATCAAATAAACGGTCTTCAAATGCCTCTCCTCACCCGGGGGGGTATAGTAAATTTACACACATTCGACTAAATAGATGCCCGCCAGGTCCACTTACCAAGGGCACCCAATTAAATTTAAATCTGTGGTATTGTATGGAGACGTGATAGTTCTGTACCTAGGTAGTTAATGCGGCAGGTCATTCGGAGCCAAGGCGGCGTGAGCATGTTGTAGAATGCCACTCCATTCAGGGCTAGGATTCATTCCTCGACGTCTTCCATGGGCGAATCCGTGTCTTCTGATTCGCTAGCCGAGCTTTCAGGCTCAGTGTCATCACTTGTTCGCATGAGATTCGGGAACATGAGATGCTGAGCTTCGTCCTCATCAAGTAGGTCCTCTGGCGGCACATCGCTAAGGTCGCTCTCGTCATCAGCAGAGTCGTGCACGCTACCCGGCACAGAGCTTAGCTCTCGATCCGCCTCGTCGTCTTTCATCTCTATGTCGCCGTCCACTTCACCTCCACCACTGTCTCCGTCACTGGCGTTGCCGCCCTCGTGCTCGTCCACCGCCGGTGTTTTGCCACTTGACACGGAGCTACGAGGTTTCCCATTAATATGTCGAGACCCTTCTTGTGCACGCATGACTGCTTGTTCGGCCCTGCGCAACACATCTGCTCTTCTGATACCTGTCTTTCGGGGACGTTGAGCACTATCAATGTTGGCAGGGGTGGAATCACCTGGGGCCCCTTCTGTTCCAGAGTTTTCGTGCGATTGAGGATTCAAGATACCACTCAGGGAGTTCAGCGCCCTGGGATCAAGACTATCCTTTTCCAACTGACGAACATCGGTTTGTATGCGTTCTTCTTCTTTTTCCCCAAGCAACGTGGCTAACTCCGCACCTGGTATTTGCTTTCTAGTCTGAAAGTACAGTGCTGTGTAGCAATCATTAATCAAGTCATCTATGGCACCAACCTTCATAAGGCCTCCGTTCAGCTTCTTCAACTCGATGGCCTCCTGCAGTGCACTCAAGACGGGATGCGACGAGGCAGGATCCGAGCACCACTCGCTTATTCTTTTAGTAACAATCTCGAACTCTTCCGATGTGGTTAACTTGAACTCATCGTCAACAACGGGTGAGATTTGGTATGCGTGGCGAATAAGCCGTAGATATGCAACACAGCAGGTCTGCCAAAGGTCATTGAAGTGATAGTAATCAACCCCTTTCTTGCGCAAGCGGCGGAGCATGGCTTCGAAATTCGGTCTGTCCTTCAATACGACCAATAACTTCACCACAAATCTTACGTATTGTTCGGTATAAACATGATGTCGGCCAGGGCGCTCTGCATCGCACTTCCATACATTCATCACCATTGTCTTAGTAAGCATAGACTCTTTGAGAACACTGAAAGCAGCCATCGCGTCAACGACACTGGACTCATCCGAGTTTTCGTCAAAGAGGATCCTTGCATGGCGCATGAAAATGCGATGTTGCCAATTTGATCGATCTTTCTCTCGTAGGAAGGTAAGCGTTTTAATCACGTAAGACTCCCAGTCTTCCAAATCATCAATCTCGATGCACTGCCCGTCGTCGATTGCATACGGCTGGTGTTGAAGAATGTCGGCAGCTTCCTGCGGTCGCATGTCGCCAAGCATGACCAACTTGTGCATCACCGAAACGATCTTGTAGTGGGGTTCCAATATTGGATCTTGACCATGTCGCGGCTTCGGCAATGCTGATACAACTTTAACTGACTGTTGGAGAGCCGTGACAACCATCTCGACTGTTGGCCGATTTGTCTGGTCGTTACGGTCAAGGGCTGTCAACGGCTTTCGATACATTTTCCATATGCACTTCGCATACATGTAGGCGTTTCTAAGGACGGTCAGTACTCTATCACGGAGCAACATACTGGAAGAGTCGATACATACTTCCATTGCTTCGGCTTGACCTCCATAGCTTTTTTAAATAGCCTCGCGGCATACTTCCAAACCTTATAATCCTGCATCTGCGAGTGAACGTCCTTCGTATCGGCCCCAGAATCTTGAATAACAAAGCGTTTATGTTCAGAATGTTGGAATGGCTCCATAGCAAACGGCTCCCGACTCGAGGCATACATTCGCATTCCAAATTTGTGATATAGATCGTGGATGGCATCATTCGCCTCCTCGTTGTCATCAAGGATGGCTGTTCGCGAATGCGACAATGCCAACGTGTAACAGTGTATTGCGTTACGTTGGTACTTAACCAGGTCTGCACGTTCTTTATTCATTTTGTCTGCAGTCCAGAGAACCGACTCGTCAATCTCATAATCGAAGCATTCAGCTAAGCGAAACCACGCATCCCATTGATCAGGCGTAAATTGTAACTGCTGGCGAAGAAAAGTAGCGCCTATACGAAGATCATCGGTAGCACCCGGCGTTTGCCGTCTGTTCAAATCAACCCCTTTGAATTTAGTAAAGGCGATCATGCCCAAGAGGAAAAGCCACCTGTGTTTGGCGAGTATGCTATCCGCTGTGTTCACATTTACAGCATCGATGGCGACATTGCCATTAAAAGCTTCATACAGACGAAGAGGATGAATGGGTTTTGCCAGAATGTGATTAAAGATTCGGAGATTCTGGATAAGCTGCTGGTTGGATTTCGTCTGTCCGATAGCCTGCTGCATATGCTCAACAGTGTTCTTCAGATCCGATTTCAGCAGATCTTTCATTGGCATACGGTGGGCAAGAATAGAGACTCGGGCTACTAGTGCCATCGTATTCCGGCGTTCGAGTTTTTCAGGGGGGCACCCGTGATCTTGTACTTCGGAAAGACCAACACCTAGCTTCAACCCATAGAGATCAAAGAGAACTTGCCCAAGGTAGTCTTCCCAATTATCAATCAAATTTTGCTTTAGAAGCTCAATTCGCATCATTCTGAGGAAGATCCTATTGGACGATTTGCAGAACTTGCGTAACCCCAGGACTTGATGGACGGCCGCGAGGTAGTCCGCCCGTTCGCACTCGGGTGCTGGAAAGGATGATCTATTGTGACATATGCCAGCCTTGAAAAGCGTGTAGAGAAGCGACCAGTTCCGAACCTGCATCTCGCGGAGCTTGTTGAGAAACGAATGATACGTTGCGCTGTTAGATACAGGCGCTATCATACCTACACGGACCTCATCTTCGTACATCGATGGAACGTGCAAGATACAGCTTAGCTTGGCTACAGCCGCAACACTGGACTTTAAGTGCTCATCGTCTATGATGTCAAATGCGGTGATTTCGTTCAGGGCAGCCGACAAGGTAGAGATAAGCAAATCATCTAGCGATTTCAGCATCTTCGTGAGCAGTGGCAGTCGTGTTTCGTCAGGAGCGCTGAGATATGTATCTCGTTCAAGATCATCTGTGATCATTTCAATACTCTTCAGATAGCATGAAAACTGTTTGGTCTTGTAACCGATTGCAGCATAGGCT